AACCATTATACCCGATCAAGGGTTAATATATATATATTTACATAGTATATATATATATATATTATATATAATATAATATATATATAATGTATTAACATTACAATCGCGCAATATACGTATATAAGTATGTCTATATCTCTGTCTGTCAGTCTCAGTGTCCTCTGTCTGCTGTCTGTCTCTGTCTGTCTGTCGTCTGTCTGTCTGTCTGTCTGTCTGTCTGTCTGTCTGTCTGTCTGTCTGTCTGTCTGTCTGTCTGTCTGTCTGTCTGTCTGTCTGTCTTCTGTCTGTCTGTCTGTCGTCTGTCTGTCTGTCTATCTATCTATCTATATATCTATCTGTCTATCTGTCTATATATCATATGTATATATATATGTTATTGTATATATATTTGTATATATATGATATATGTATATTTATTACTTTAACATTTTAAGGATCCATAGGATGTGGTTTACTTTGAGAAGCAACATGATAAAAGTTGGATTATGTTTAACATTGTTTCAGGGAGAAAAATAAAAGAATAATGCATATGTATAGAGTGTGATATCTGTTTGATTTAAAGCACAGATTTCTTAGTGTGTCCCTCTGTCTCTGTCTATCTCTTTTCATGGTTGCTTTCCAGTTTTTTACCTTCTTTTTTAAATCATTTTGTAGCCTACTTGATTTGATGGTGTGGGAGCTGAAAACAATTGATCCTATACCAAAACTTTGTGTGTGTCTGTGATAACTTAGCTTTCCATATTGCTTTTTCTATGTCCTTTGCGTATTGGGAAATATAGTACCCTGCTAACGTATCTGGTGCCATAAGAGGTCTTGAATATATTTATTTATTGATTGATCTATATGCCCTTAGGAAGTGATGACAGATATTGAGTGAGTTTCTACTGCATGTGCACTCTTTTGATTGTGGGTAAAGGAAACGGCTATAAGATTTCACTCCGTTGTGTCTTATAGGATCACATCCTACGCTTGAATATGTGTTTTTTTTATGTTTTTATGTAAAGACACAGTTACTTCGCAAACAATATTCATGTAACTTAACCCAATGTTGACGGGAAAATGGTGCGTTCACTTTGGCAATGCTTGGTTAAATGTTTCCGCATATAGATGGCTCTGCCAATGCTTAGCCACAAAGGAGTCAATTAGTAGATCTTGCGACATAACTTTCCTTGAAAAAGTGTGAAAATCTTTTTTTCTTAAGCTATCAATATTGACACTTGTTTTTGTTATAAACATTATAATTACTATTTTTACTGACATAAATAACAGCATTATTAAATACTAGAAACTATTATCAAAAATCAAGGAAAAGGGTAAAGAAGCGAGACAGGTAGTTCACGTAATTGGTTCATTGGTGACAGTACACGTGGAGCCATCAGTATGTAAAAACAATTACTATATTCAACTCCTACAATGGGGAATGACATGTACGTACTGCCATGGCCGCCTGCTTGGGGGTTGATTATTGAATTTTTAGATATATGATTAGATATATTTTCTGAATATTTGGGATTTTAAAACTACTTTCTGGATGACAAATTCTTTATTATTAGAAGTAGAATAGAAGTAGTAGTGGCAGCTGTGTTTGTAGTTGTAGCAGTAGTAGTTGCAGTTGCAGTTGCAGTTGCAGTTGCAGTTGTAGTTGTAGTTGTAGTTGTAGTTGTAGTTGTAGTTGTAGTTGTAGTTGTAGTTGTAGTTGTAGTTGTAGTTGTAATTGTAATTGTAATTGTAATTGTAATTGTATGTAATTGTAATTGTAATGTAATTGTAGTTGTAGTTGTAGTTGTAATTGTAATTGTAGTTGTAGTTGTAGTTGTAGTTGTAGTTGTAGTTGTAGTTGTAGTTGTAGTTGTTTAGTTGTAGTTTGTAGTTGTAGTTGTAGTTGTAGTTGTAGTAGTAGTAGTAGTAGTAGTAGTAGTAGTAGTAGTAGTGTAGTAGTAGTAGTAGTAGTAATAGTAATAATTGATTATTATTTTTTATGCTATGTAGTTATTTCAATTTGTTGACATGTTACCGATTAGCATTGTGATTTATTTGAAATAATTTTTGGACTTTGACAGATATTTAAGAGTGCCATCTTTTTCACACAGAAAAGCAGAAAGAGTTGTCGCAACGTGAGGCAGAGTCCCGCAGGCAGAGAAGAGAAGAAGAGGAAGAAGGGAAGAGCAGCAAATGTAAGGCACCGTGGGGACATACAGTACAGGCACTCGCGACCACACTCTCCCATGGAGATGCATAAAAAGCGCAAATACCATCACCAGGATCACTATGCGGTTGCAGGTTAGCATTTCGTATTCTTTGGTTTGGAAGGAAGTTCCAAATATGATTTAGAGTGAAAATGACATATGTGCATACGCATACATACCTGTTATCGATAGGGTAGGTTGTCTTGTGTAGATATACTTGTGATGCAAATCTTATCAATTTGTAACCCACCATGGAAAATGTCCTTGATATTTTGGATATTTGTTAACCCCATTGAAAACAGTATGAAAAAAAAAAAAAAGAAGAAAAAAAAAAGTGCTGTTTCAAATTTACAGCTAATCCAAAAAATACTCATTTTAGGGTGCGCCACCACCCAAGTTTCCTTGTGCGAGGATGCTCTGAACTCTGGTGCATTCTAAAATAATTTATACTTCCTATGCAAATGAAAATTTGTATCCTGCACCTTTTAAAGCTTAGGAATCCAAAAATCACACTTAGAATATTGTGAAATGAAGCCATTTCCTGAAACCATTCATTGGTTTCAGGAAATTTTGAGTCAGTTTTTTTCTATGTCTCCCTAAACATATAGTTGAAAGAAAAGTCTTTTAACTGTTTAAAAACACCAAGAGAACCAATTGTATATGGAGGAGACAAATGATTTTTACAGTTGAAAAAACTGTGATTTCTTTAAAGATTTGCCATTGTACATAGATTGTTACTAATTAAAAAAAAAAATTTGCTTTCAAGCAGGGCCTCAAAAATTCACACACACATTCAATGAAAACATTATTTGTTTTTTGTTAATTCCACATTCTAAGGTTTGATATTCTTATAAGAGAAATAAGAGAATCAAGATTTCCTATACATTATTTGAGAGTTAACATATATATCTCTTTAACAGATGGGATAGATGAGGTGACTGTCCTCAGCGAAGAAGAGGAGGATGGTGAGTACGAAGACACTGTTATCAGCCATGATGAGAGGAAAGGCTCCAATGAGAGAAAGTCAGATGAAGATAGAAAGAAGAAGAAGAAGAGAAGAAAAGAAGTCGATGATACAGTGAAGGAGGAGCCCAGAATGGAGCAGTCCGACACAGCGGGGAGTGGCTCGTCTGACAGCGAATCGGATTCGGGTGAGTTCCACGTGTATTGTTGGCGTTAGTGTTAGACTACTGCCGGAAGAGGGTTGCTTTGTAGTTGTTGAGAAAGAGAGTAGAGCTTCATTAGCAGATAGAAAAGAGGCAGGACTGCGAGTCGCCTCTATGATTGGTTCTGAGAAACTAGGGGCTACCAAGGGAATTGGGGAAAGGTGGTGATTGTGACGGGGAGGTTTACATGCAATACTTTACCAGAGTTCTCATGTTATCCTTACTGAGTTCTTTCACACATAGAAAAGACACAGGAACAAAACCAGGATGCATTCATTTGGAAGAGTGTAACTGAAAAAAAAACTTTCCAAACACTACTAGCATTAGATCCTTACACTCTCTCCTGCCTGTCAATTTTTGAGAGGCGAGACTCAGGTGAGCACCTTGGGATCAGGTGTAAAAACTGAAAGAGTTACCCAGTGGAATGCTGCTGGAATTCAGGAATCGAGCATCACTTGATTTTCAGATCAAGTGGTCACTGGAGTTTAGAGTCCAAACATCTGCATGCTTTTGGGATTGTATTTTATACTTCTGCAGTGTTAAAACAGAATTTCTTGGACTATTTTTACTGAAAATGTTATTGCCTCAAAGTATTGTATCTCCAGTGTAAATTTTGCCAACAATTTTGGAATATTAAGAGCCATTATAGACTTTTCCAGTAAAAATTAAAATTGAATGTGTGGCATTGCAGAAATAGACTAGGAGAAACAGAAAGGAACATAAAAGGAAGGAAAGTAAATGGGGAATGGCATTTACAATACACTGTCATTGATTATGACAGCCCTCTCATCCTTACTTACCCAAGCTTATTCATTTACCAAATACAACAGAATTGATTGTGTAGTGATATCTTTATTGCACTTTGATGAGTTCATAGAGTCCTAAAAACAGTACTGAGATACGTAGGGGTAATAGGAAAAAGGACTAAGAAAGCTAAATATTTTAACTCGGAATTCATTAGGAAACAAGGTAAGATGACTACCAGGACTTTTGTGCCAACGGTCTCCTTGTAAATAACTTCTTTGTCCTGTCTTTTTTTGCACAATGAGGAAAGCATTTTCGTGTGATTTGCATTCACAAGTCAACAAAGTTTAACGGCCATTTATAGGGTATATATACTGTCTGGAGGATATAGCTTTTATATATTTTTTGGTTAGCGTTGGCAGTAAAAGTTAATATTTTTGTATATCACATATACAAGTATCTTCGGAAAATGTATATTACAGATTAGGATGGAGAATCTACCACTTAACTTTTACCTGTATTTTTAGTTAAAAGTTCGGTATCATTACGTTCTCTAAATAATGTGCTGGAAAAAAACAAGTTAAACCTTTATTGTTTTAGGTTCTTTGGTTGAAGAGATGTGCAGCTGGGAACCTGTTTTGAAGTACATGCAGTAATAGGGACCTGGATGATTTATTGTAGAAAGATATATGGACTGGAGCAACTAAAGAGGCACACAACGACTTCATTAAATGCATGAACAGTCTCACAATATGAGAATTACGCATTGCTCTCTTGGTCATGAAATGTCTTCATCTGATAATGATTTCTTTATTTGTGGATATTGCAGATAATATTGGATTGAAGGCAGAGACACCTGGTGATATATCCCTTCCCCTAGTGAGAATATAAGCAATGATGACAA